CAAGTCTTGGCTATCGAACAGCGAAAATCGCAGGTCTCTATCTCATTCCTATCAAAAGTTATTCAAAAAATGCCCACCGGCACTGTATTTTGAGATGGATAGTAACAACGAAAACGTAGCTACATAACAAGCGAATATCATAAGAATATTTTTATTATTTTTTACCAGGTAAACTATTGATATTTGACAGATATATTTCATATTAAAATAAATAGGACATTGTGATTTAACTGTCAGATTGAAAAAAGCGTCAAGTTGGTACGGTTATAATATCAGATTAAATAAAACTTCAGATTTTGATGTTTAAACCATCAAGTTAGCACGGTTAAAGCGTGCGTTTATTTTTTATATTGTACATCCATGAATTCCAGTTCTAACAGAACTGAAACGAAAAGAATTTAATAAAAAAAAGTTCAGTACGTCACAGGTCATTAAATAGGAGAAGAATATCTGAATGCACCACCATTTATGTATGAAGATGATCAGCAAATGGAAATGTCCCAAGGAGAGCTTACTGATCAGCCGACGGATATAATTCAACTTGGTTACTGATTATTAAAAAAAGAATCTTGGACGTGATTTACCAATTTTCTCAGAAATGTTGTTCGATAGTCATTATTAGTAGCGTCACTTAAATTCTGAATATCGAATGATGAAGAAAACTTTTTATTATCGTCGAATGCAATTTATTGATCTAATCGTTACAATTATTCATTCATCGTCGAAGAATTCTTAGTTATTTTCTAGAAATGTGATAAACTTGTTAAGCATACTACGTATATTTGTTCGTCGGAACATCTCTTAATTATAGTAACTTTCTTCTTATACGTTGATTTTCATCTATTTTTCTATAGTTTTACTCGTTTTTTTTTCAACACTTTTCTAAAGAAAAAGGAGGAAAATCAGGATGATTCCAAGGCAAAAATCAATCTCCAGCTTCGCTTGTTCTTACCCGAGAATCTTCTACCATCGATTAGACTTTTAAAAATAAAACTCCTTTCTTAGAAAATATAAGTTTCAAAAATCATCGATTTATTTCATCAACTACACACTACAAAAATGTAGATGTAAGAAATGTTAGAGTTAATTTGAGATAAGTTAATTGAAATTTGATATGTTAGTTATTATTGCATTTTTTATAACATTGAAGTATAATTTAAAATATAATTTAAAAAAAAGATTAAATAATAATAACTAGAAAATAAAAATAAATAGTCAATTATACCTGTACTTTTTTTATACCACTGTTCTCGTGTAAAATTATTTTTATTTTTTCTACAACATCTTGAGGCGTGAGACCATTACAATCGATAACATAACAATTTTTTTCCACGTTTATATCAGGTACTTCAAACGTTGCAAGTTGTGAACCGAGCAATGATGGATTCATGTAGTGTTGACTTTGACGAGCAACTAAACGGTCGTGTAGCACCTCCTTGGGTAACGTTAAGAAAATAAAATATATTTGACAATCAGGTGGAAGATCACTGGTGGTACTCGTACCTGAATAAAAGATATTTTCACCTATTAATAATTTTTTTGTCTATAAACTGAGAATATTTTTACATATAGTGCCTAACACAGTAAGAAGTATTAAAACATAATTCTAATGCCTTTGGAAATGAAGAGAAGGAGCATGTACTCACCAGCTAATAACATATGACGATATATTTCTCTTAAAGCTGAACATGTGAGGATAACTGATTTACCATCGTAAATATACTGCTTAATAGTCTCGTGTAACTTCATTAACCATGGAAAACGGTCTTCATCTGTTAATGGTATGCCAGCACTCATTTTAGCAATATTTTCTGGTGAATGGTATTCATCGGCTTCACGATAATCCCATCCAAAATATTGATGCAACAATTTAGCAGTACTTGTTTTACCAGTGGCTGTTACGCCACCTATAATAAGAATGGTCATCTAAAAAACAAGAAAATCAAATAAACTGTAACAATATTTTGATTTTCGTCTTGCTATTGTAGTGCACAAACATTTTGTTCATATTTTAAAGATTCAACAAAGTTCGAATCTGAGATTAATTTACATACAGTTGAAGTTAGATAACGCACTATATTAGAAAGTTTGTCAACTAATCCTTTCGATTAATAAAAATAACTTACTTTTATTAGTTAATGTTTGTTATGTTTATATTCTTTTCAAAAGAGTTGCACATTAGCCTACTTTCATGGGCGGGCCAAGAAAATTTTTTTAGAGGAGGGGGTGGCAATAAATATTTTAGAGTAGTGCATACTCAGACGTGCTTTCCTTCATAATTTTTGTCCGTGCTAGCACACTTTTCCTTCATTTAAAGTGTACATCAAATTTTTCGATCAAGAATTGCTCTTACTTAATTTTTAACTTCGGGCAGATACTCTGCTACGAAATATAGTTCTTCACAGAACAATAACTGCTTATTTCCCTCGATATTTTTTTCCAGGGTGGTCCCAATTTACTCTGCTGGCGACCCGCCAATGCTCTTTTCTATGGCGATGTTTTATTGATGAGAAAGAGAGAAAAAGAGAAAGAGAGAGGATTGAAGGTTTAAATCTGATATTAAACAACGCGAGTTTCATTGTAGAAAGTTAGTTTTTAACCATAAACTTCATTGAACTTCCTTTAGAAGATATTGATATAGCACAGCATCGAACTTCCGTTTAAATTATCTTTTATTTTATTTTTTTATGATAATTCTGTCTAATTTCATTTTGTATCATGTGCACCTTTGTACAAAGAAAATGGGTAGATGCATAAAAAAGGTATACATAGATAAAAATAAGACACAAATGATACGTAACAAAAGAGGAAGAAACTTCACTCACAATAGACACAAATAAATCTGTACAAACATAAAAATATTATTATAAATACAAAGAAACAAGAACAGTGTTTTATTCGAAAGATGAGACTAGATTCGCAGCCATTGTTTAAAATAATTACTCATTTTTTCTCGAATTTCCGGTCGGCCGACATTCACCGTAGGAATTATTCGTTTTGGTTTCAAATATTCAATAAAATCTTTCAATTCATTGAAACTACTATGTTCACTGTAAGGAAAACCTATAAAACGCGAGAAAAGAATAGACATAAAAATTCAATCTAGAAGTGATATAATTAGTGAGGCTCCACTTAAGTACGTCTCATTTGAATGCGTTGCATTTTCAATTACATAACTCATTCCTCAACATATTTTGAAATTTTTGAATTGTTTCCGTTACCACTGTTTGAGATTAATTCTCAGTAGCTAGTAATCGTTTATAGTAAAAGAAAACAGTGTAGCTTACAAAATTCTTGAACAGTATCAACCACATACTCTTGCTGTAGACCGATATTTTGAAGATTATGCTATGAGGTCTGATTGATATCGAAAGGTTCTCTCTTACCCGAACTTTGAATTTATAAGAAATTTTCTCCTGTACACAATTTTCCATATTTATCCGGGATACAAAATTTTCGAAACGATGTTAGTGGCGGTGCTCAAATGAGACGCACTAAAAGAACACGCACTAAAATGCAACGCATTCATATACCACCTCTCTCCCCCCTCCTCGATAAAATTGTAATAGCAGCTGCTTTTATATTTCTAAGTTCACATGTTTGAATCTTTATTCGTACAAAATTGATTTTGTGTACTTCGATAGTTTTAGTTTAGAATACTATAATGGAATATTTTCTGCTTCTATTCTGACAGAATAAAGTTTATACCAATTCATATTTATTTAATTAAAATTAAACACAAAATATTCAAATTAAGAAATTAAAAAAAAGGTCAACATGTCAAAAATTATAGTTTTCATTCTCAAGACAGTAAAACGTTTTACACGATGTAAAGTTAAAATGAGTGTGAATGTAGAAATGAAGAGAGAGCGAAAGAGACGCCTATTCATTTTTCTAGATCT